AGAGCTCCGGCGGGTGACTTCTGCTCCAGTTACCGTGCAGAAATGCTCGCCTTAGTTACGGGCCTGGAGACCCTAACTTCACGCACCAAAGATAGCGACCTGCCACTGATCATCTGCTCCGACAGCATGTCGGCACTGGCGACCCTGCGGAATGGCCCCGCCGCCCAGACGTCACCGCTGGGGACGGCGGCCTGGAGAGCTCTACTGCAGCTAGCCAAAGATGGTCGAGAAATCAGGGCCCAGTGGGTCCCTTCTCACTGTGGCATACACGGCAATGAAGAGGCGGACAGAGTGGCCCGGGAAGCAGCCCAGCTCCCTCAAGAAAGGACGCCCATCGACACGAGGACGATCACCAGTACCGTGGCGAGAATGGCTAGGGACAAGACAATCCAGTCCTGGCCCCCCGGCTGGTTCAAGTCTCTGATGGGCGACCGCCGGCCCCCGTCCACGGCCGGCCTGGAACGGGAGAGCGCGGTAGAAGTCCATCAGATCCGCGCGGGCCACTGGGCAGGCTCAAGAGCCTACCTACACCGGATCGGTCGCTCCCCTACCAGAGACTGTGAGGGATGCAACGACGACCGGTGCGATGGAGCGCGCTGCCCCATCTGCGGCGAGGAGGCGGACCGGCCGGCCCACATCCTCCTTCGCTGTCCCGCTCTGATGAGGACCCGCCTACAACTCACCGGCAGTATCCATCCGGACTTGGAGGAGGTCCGGGAGACCAGAGTGGTGGCGGCCCTGGTGGCCGCCGCCCGCAACTTCCAGAGCCGCCTGGCTACGCCCCGATGAGGGGCGGAGGGAGTCACATCACATCACCAAGGAAAATTTGCATTGAACGGATATACTGCGACTGTAACTTGTCGGTGTATGTCATGTGCGGCATAAGCAGTACCACAACAGTGGTGCTTGGCAGTTCGAGTTAAACTCACATATTGAAAACCAAATTTGCTTCGTGATGCATTGTACATTCGTTCAAAAATGATAATGCCAGTGAAGAAGAACAAGCGATAAAAGTGAGCGTGTAAAACATTTTGCAAAAATACAGAACGCTCAGAAAAAAAAAATCAAAATAACGGAAATAGTATGAATTTGAAGCAGTAGATGGCTCTTTGGTAGAATTCGGCTGCGATGTGATAGCAATGTCTTGGCGCAACATGACAGATATTGGTCTCAGTAAGACAGCAGTGCTTCTGTTGACCACCGCCACCTCGCTCACAGAGCGGCGTTCGTTCTCGGCGACTCTCTGGGGGAATCTCCCCCACCGCGGACGAACGGACGAGGCATAGCCGAGGGACGGGTCCGGCAGGTGACGGACCCCACTTACTGCCGGATTACCTCCGGGGCCAACCGGGTGGCGCGGATTAGAACGTCGGCCGCGCTGACCGGCGCCGGCGGGGATTACCGCCGCGGCCGAGCGCGGCCGTAATGGGATCGGCGCGCGGCGCTGGCCGGCCGGCCGACCCGGCGGCCACCTGGCAGTCGGCGCGCCGGCGGCCGCCGCAGGCCGGCGCCGATGGCACCGACGCGCCGCCCGGCCCGCGGCCGGCGCGCCGCCGTCGGCCGCCAGTCGACGCCAAACGGGCCGCGGGCGGCGCGCCACCGCGCGGCGCCCGCCGCCGTCATGGGCTACGGCAGCGCGCTGCTGTGCCGGGCGCTGGGGCCGCGCCGCGCCGGCCCCACAGTGGTGGCCAGCGCGCCGGCCGGGCTGCCCGAGCTGACCGACCGCGGCCGGCGCGGCTCCGTGGTCGCCGCGCTGGACGAGTTCGCGCTCTACGACAGCCGCCGGAGGTCGCTCCAGCTGCCAGTGCCGTCACCGGTCGCCTCTCTGCCGCCGGTACCGTCCGCGGCGCCGCCGCCACCTCCGCCGCCGCCGCCTCCGGACCCCAGCCGGCCCGTCAGCATCCGCGTCATCCCGGCCACGCCCGAGGTGAAGCCGGCGCCACGCGCCCCGTGCTCGCCCACCGGCAGCGAGTCCAGCGCCGGCTGGGGCTGCGCCTGGTCGCGGCGGCGGCGGCGACGGCCGTGGACGGCAGCCGCCGGCGACAGCGCACCGGACGCTGTCGGCTACGGCTCCGAGTGCCTGGCCGGCGTGGTGAGCGCCGTTCTGGCCGTGCTGGTGACCGCCGGCGTGGTCTACTGGCTGTACGCCTCGCACGACGTGTTTGAAACCAGGACGTGACGAAGGCCGGGCGCGACAGGACGCCCCGCCCGCCCTCAGTGCAACCCTAGTGCGCCCCAGTGAGAGTGAGCGACCGAGCGCGCGGCCGGTGAGCGCAGTCAGGCCCAGAGCCGAGTGACGGTGTACCGCCAGTGACCGGGGACGACGCCAGCTCTCCATACAGCCTCGCACTGCCGCGCATTGGGCGACCGGCTGCACAGCCAGACAGGGATGGACAATGACGGACGGCTGACCTCGCCACCAGTGGCCGCGGCCAGGGCGCGACGGCAGTGGTCTCCGGCCAGAGGAGATAGCGGCGGGCGGCGGAGGTCATCAGGCGGAGCGGCCATCTCGCTCTCTCCCTCCGCCGGCGGCCGACTTGGCACCACCGAGCGGCCAGGCGTCATCGCATCGCGCCGGACAATGGGCCAAGCGCCCTCCGTCCCCACACCCCGGCGGCGGCGACGACGGCCGACCGTCCCTCCCGCCGCCCCGCCCCGAGACCAGGATCGGACCAGAGCCGGCTAGAAGCGGTACGTAACCGGATGGCGATGTTCGCGGCGAGCGCTAAAGCTCAGCCCAGCGTCGTTTCAGAGGCGGGTCATAACGGGCCGCGTCCGCCCAGCCTCTGTAAGCCATCAGACAAAGGTAGCCGGCGTGAGAGTAGCAGCGCAAATCACCAGCTGATGACCGTCCCTAAACCATCTACTAACAGCGCACGACCCAGCAGCGCAAGCGCTCGCCACTCTCCAGCCAAGTCGCCCTTCGGCGGAGCCGGCCGGCCGACCGGACATCCGAGTCTTCGAGATGGTGGTCAGCGCTGACCCACGACGGGTCCGTGAGGTAAACCAACCGGGAAAGCCCGGCGTTCATCGTTAAACCGGGCGACCGTGATCTCAAGTCGTGTTCGTGATGGAGCGAGAGCAGTGCAATCAGTTGGCATTCCGTGTGATCTGAGGTGTTGGATCAGGTTCGTGACGTTTACAGGCTTGTCGCCGCGCGCGCTCTAGTAGGATGCAGAGGAGCGTTCCGTTGGGAGCTGAATGTGTGGTACCGGTTTATATGTTTGTCCGAGCTATTAAAACGAATCGCTCGTCATATTGACGCGATTGGTTGAGACAACCCCTGCCGAGATTCATTCAGAAGGCTGCCATTACTTCCGAATGAAATATTTCGAATTGTTTGAGAGATGCGGTCATTCAGAATAAACATGAATGACATTTCTATCGGCTCTTCTAGTCAAACGCATTCGGTCTACGTCAGCATTCCTGTGGCCAATCACGGGTGGGCAGCGACGTGCCGCGCCCGATCGGCGGCCGATAGGGGCGGGGGACAGCAGACAGCGCCGTAATCACTTCCCTGTATAGTCGGTCGTGTCTACTCGCGGCTGCAGCGTCTGTGACAGCGCCCAATCAGTCATCGCTGGCGGTGAGTGTCGACGTGCGCCCGCCCGCTGCGTGTCGCCGGTCCGCCTCCTGGCACGGGCCGTCTGAGGAGCGCCCGCCGCCGCGGCCCTCACCACAGCCGGCCGCCGGCTCTGGCCAAAGGATGGCGCCATCTCGAGCGGTCGTCTCCGGCAGTGTCCATCCGTCATGTCCAGTCAATATGCGCCATCGACCGGCGACGGCTCGAGAGCGGCGGCCGGCCGACTGCCGCGGCGCCGCCGCCCAGCGGCGCAGCGGCTCCGGTTCACTTCACCCAGGCCCATTCAACGGCGGTTTACCCATTCCACCCACTCCAGGCCAGTCCATCCACCCATTCCATGCCAGTCCTAACAGTCACTCCAGGCCAGTCCACCCACTCACTCCAAGCCATTTCAGTCCACATCTCCTCCAGAGTTAGCTCACCCTACCTCTCCAGTCCACCCTATCAACAACAGTTCACGCCAGTCCAGTTCATCCTATTGAATCCACTAACCAGCTTCCGTCCTCTCCTCTCGACAGTCCACAATACTCTGCCTCGGTTTAGTTCTCCACACCATTTCATGCCGCTCGCTATCCATCCAAATAGAACCCGCTCCGCACCACCGTTCCCAATCTCCTCCTCACTCAACGCCACTCCCGATCACTGGATTCCATTCATCTCAATTCCATGCACTCCATTTAACCCACTTTACATATCTCAACTCCACACTTCACTCTGCCAGCCCACCCAGGTCCACTCCACTCTCCACTCTCCACACTCACTCACTCACTCCATTCACTCCACGTCACCTACTTTACACTTATTAAATCCTTTCAATTCTATTCCACTTCCATCCAAGCTCCACTTTATCACTGAGCCGTGGATGAACGCTGATTCAGTCCACATCTTCAGAGGCTAAAAGCCAACCCTCCCCTTTCCGGTCCACGCCCGCAGCACGCGCCGTCGGCACAGCTCCCTCACCTCTGTCCACCGCAGTGTGCTCTTTCATTAGCGGTCCGGTGCCGCGTCGATCATCGTCCCCATACCTCCTCCACGAACTCCTCCCCTCTCCCCGTCAGCAGACTTCCCTATCAGATCATGTCACCCATCGCCTCCGTCTCACCATGCACCACGGAGAGCCCACTGCTCACATCCCAAGGGAAAAGTATCCATCAACTATCTCAGGGGAAGAGGCCTCACACCGACCGGGCACCACAAAAGGCGCCTTATCACCCCAGGGAGAAATACCCCACAATGGCCCAGGGAACGGGGCGGGGCGTCACCCCGACTGGGTTCCGCGGAATACCCTCACTATGGGGAGAAGAATCCACGAACACGCCCTGGGAGCCGCACCCAGCACACACCCACACCCTGGGAAGGGAAGCAGGTCATAGCGGAGCCGCAAAGAGAGGAGGCCGCTGCTGGAACAGGTACTTACCGTCACCATGTCTACGCCCCAGTCGGCGGCAGAGGTGATGAGGTCGTGCGCGATGTTGGCGCCGCGGAACACACCCGTCCGCATCTTCAGCGTCAGCGGGATATCGATGACGGACGAGATGCTTCGGCAGGTGTTTTCCAGCATGGAGCGTTTACGCATCATGGCGCTACCGCCGCCCTGGATGGGAGGACAGAACGTAGTTAGAGATACTTTGGGAGGGAGTCTGCGCGCAGGAGAAGGGAGAAAGGCTAACGTAAGAGGCGGAATGAGCCACCAGCAACGACCGGCAATTGCATGGCCGAAGCACACAAAACAGCAGTGCCAGCGCACAGTCAGCTTATGAGCTGTCAGCACCGTCAACTTTTTGTGCAAATTCCTAGTCCCTTACAGTTAGAAGTCCACAGTCTGCTGCAGCTCAGTCCACAGACATTAGAGGGTCAGTTATTGACAACCAATGACGGACGTTACAAAGTCAATCGCCGGAACGTCCACCATGGCCATTGACAATTATAACGCTTTTCTAAACGTGACGCAGAATAACCCAGAGTTGGACCGCTGACGAGAGACAGACGGGGCAACTGGGCATGTCTCCAGCTCGTGTAAATTCATGACCGCCGTGGAACAGTGTCAGTAGGTATATTGGTGTTTTCTTGAAGAAGTTAAGTAGGAGCTGGCACGTCTCGAACAGCTGCTAAAACACCGAGCATGACTCTAGCCTCTCTGCACGGTCCTCGCCCAGGATACAGTCGACCGCCGCCCGGTTCTCGGTCTCCCGGAGACCGCAGTAGCCCGACCAGCCACCGAATAAAATGCAACTGCGGTTCTGGCCGGCCGAGGCAGAGCGCCATCTTGGTGGGTAACGGCCCGGCCGGGCCGGTCGTCGCCAATATATGGAGGTCGGTCGAGACAGCCGCGGTGGTCGGTGGCAGGCCACGGCGATCTCTGGGGACCGGTCCAGCGCCGGCCAGCAGCGACCGGACACGCAGACAGACACTACAGAGGGGCGCCGCTTATGGAGACAAGGTGAACTGTGCAACACTCACTGATATTGGGGCGAACTGTGCCGTTCAGTGCGATGCCCACTACAGAAAGAAAGGGAAAGAGAAGAGTGAGAGGGCAAAACAGAGGGACACAGAAAATGAGAAGCAGAGTGTGATCAAAAGAGATGTGAAGTGGGTGAAGCCAACTTAGGAGTGTGGATTTGAATTTTTTTACCATGCCATGTTATAATTTAGAGAACCTAGGACCACATATGAAACTATCGAAAGCACGTCAAACTTAGCCCACCAGTGACGAACTCACAGTGATCTCAACTTTCGCTCTGAGATGTGTCTGATTGGAATAATTCTGAATATTTACTAATGTTATCTTGCGATATCAAGTAGGGCCTCTGCATTATGAAGGAATATGGATCTATGTATTATTTCATTATATTGTTGGAAAATCGCCTTCGTTCCAGAGCTGTTATATAAAGGCAATAACTTGACTGAGAGTTGGAAAAAGTTGCAACAATTATTCATAATACGGTATACATCAACGGTAAACGATAAAAGAGGTTAGCTATAGACCTACCCATTCTTTTCGATTTAGTCTAAAGCAAGCGCTTACAAAAACATTGCAGGGAGATCATGTCATTTCCGTGCCGTGCAATGTTCCGCTCACAATCAGCGGAAGAACTGTTGAGTGAAGAAAACATTACTGATCGCAATGCCATTCCAATTACTCACTATCAGGTTCCCACGAATTCATACCGAATTAAATAGATCGGTAAGTGGAAAGATTGGGCTCAGAGTCGTGCGGCGCAGCATTCCACATTGGTCAGGCGCTAGCCCCACAGAGCGATGTAGGCTGTAGCGCCAGTAGACATAACTAGGCTGAGCCGTGCGGTGCGGCGCAGTATCAGCCAGGCGCTCACCCACAGAGCCATCTAGTGGCAGTAAAGAAAACTATGCTGAGCCGTGCGGCGCAGCATCAATCAGGCGCTCACCCACAGAGCCATCTAGTGGCAGTAGCGAGAAATAGACCGAGCCGTGCGGCGCAGCATCACCAGTGCAGCCAGGCGCTAGCCCCGCAGAGCCATCTAGCGCCAGTAGCGAGGACTTAGCTGAGCCGTGCGGCGCAGCATCAGTCAGGCGCTCACCCGCAGAGCCATCTAGTGGCAGTAACGAGAACTAGACTGAGCCGTGCGGCGCAGCATCACCAGTGAAGGCAGGCGCTAGCCCCGCAGAGCCATCTAGCGTCAGTAGCGAGAACTAGGCTGAGCCGTGCGCGCAACATTAGGCAAGCGCACACCCAGAGCTATCTGGTGGCAGTAGAGAACCGCGCTGACCATGCGGCACAGTATTATTTAAGCGCTTACCCACAGAGCCATCTAGCGGCTGTTACAATACCTAGGCTCCGAATCTGGCGGTGCATGAGCCGGGCGCTTATCCGGAAAAGATACGCCCAGCCACAGAAATTATAACCTTTGATTTTATCAGTATTCTTATATAGAAACAAAACATTTCGGAAATTTTTCAGGCAGATTCACATCTCTCAGATTCAAGCGAGGCTTCGCGCTAGCCCACTCGATTTGGAGTGCGCGAAAGGTGGGTTGGTTTAGGAAAGCTCCGCCAACCGACTTTTAAACGGAAACCATATCTGGCATATTGAGTCCCAAAGTGTGAATTATGGCATGATGATTGGGGCGTCAAAGCGTCTCAACCGCACAGTTATATGACATCATAACTTTGACTGCGCTTGTTCATTGAAATATAGACCATCAAAAGAGCTTCCAGCGTTGTCTCTTAGCGATGCTTCCAACAATAACTCGGCAATCGTCGCTCAAGCCGGCTATATTTGTCAGAATGATTCACTGTCTGTGATAATCTCAGTCCTCTTTGTTCTCACAAGGTTAAATAAGGCTTCGTGGTTTGCCAATATTTCATCGCACTATTTCTGAGGTTCACTAAGAATGTTACCAGTGAGGCACTCCAGCTCGTGCTGAGATTTTATCTCAAGGGTTCTTTAAATAATACCACACTTAGCTTTAGAGATGTATACATTTAATTCATACAAATCAATGTAATGACGTTCTAATGGCAGATCATACTAGAACGTTCTTTTGGAATCGCTGGCAAGTACAATTCCAAAGTTATCAAGTGATAAACTGTAATATAATGACTGAACCACAACGTTACAAAATAGTATCAAAATATTATCTATTGGATGCTATAATTTGTTTGGAAACTTCCAATACATACTATTCAATGCAAAAAAAGGTTGCGCAAAAACAAAATAGCTCCGTTAAGTGACTTGCCAAAAAATAAAAACAAAAAATAAACCACGAGTTAGACCAAAATATTTACACAGGAGGCAGTTTCGGGAGTTTCTGTTTACCGGAGTGTTAACTAACGGAGGGTAAATTGACTCCCACGTGCCAAGAGATTACAATTTCAATGCATATCAAAGTTTGTGCCGCCACGCTGCAGACTGTTGGCCGCTGGCCACGGTTGGCCAACTCCGAAATTCGGGCTTCAGCCGAAGGGGTGTTCTGAATGACTGTAACTGAGCCGACGGAAAGCCCGCGGTCGATGGTTCCGAGCCGGCGATGGCAGTTGTGATGCTTCAGCAGAGCATTCGATCAACCTGTGACGGCGCGGCGGGGTCCCACCGGCCACGCACTGGCCGCGGCGCCCGCCCTCTCGGTCGCGCCGACCACACAGAAACCACGATCGATGCCGGCCTATATTTGGCCCAGTGTGGCGTCTGGAGGCGCCGGCCGCGCGGGATGAAACCGACCCACACCCGGCGCCGGACCGCCCCAGCTGAGGCGGCGGCGGTGGTCGGCAGCCTCCGCACCGCGCAGAGCCTCAGTTAAGGCAGGTCCGACACTGCATCACCGGAGACTGGCCGGACGGGCAGCGACGGCCGACGGCGCGCCAGCCGCGGCGCCCCTCCGGCCCGGCTGCCAGCTCGAGGCTCCACAGCTCGCCTCGGATGGCTGGCGCAGCTCTTACGCACCATTTTAACGTCCGTCGCCGGCGGACATAAAGCCGAATGGTCGCCGGGCTCCGGGCGGTGACGACGGCAGCTTTGTGGCCGGCCCGGCGCCGCCCCGCACTCGGCTCTAACGGCACCATCAGTCCGCGGAGCCGGGACTGGCGGGGGCGGCCGGCCGACGCCCCGTGACCGGCCGACCTGCTCACCGCTACAGGTCACGCGCGCGCCATCAGTGTCAGCCTCGTCTGTCGGCTCCTCGGCGCGGCAGTAACGACCCAGCCGAGATGAGGAGACCTCGTGACGAGCCGCGACACGAGAGGACAGCGAGAGGCGCCGACAACAGCTTCAGATGACATCAACAAGACAGAGAGATGGGTCACCGACGGAATGACAATACATCGCGGGGACGCTCTGGGTAGGCGTTCCGGCCGCAGGGATACTCAGGGCTCTAGTCACTTGAAGACAGGGATATGTTGTCCCTTGAAGCGTTTAGCGTTTTAAGCAGCCCAGCCACTTTACCGCAGAGCAGTATGATGGCGGAAACCAGAGGAGCTCGTGGAAGAGATATCGGAAGCCATGTTTTGCGGAAAGGCTGGTGCTCGAGAAGCCATTGGCGACGTGCAAAAAACACCGCCAGACCATTAGTTACACGTCTATCGACAGGGCGCGGTCTGTCGCGCGGTCTGTCGCCAGCGAGACCTGGAAGGGAAGGCGGGGCTGCATGGAAAGTAGTGGGTGCAATGGAAGAGCATACGAGAAAGGGAGTGAGAGCAATGATACATGAGAGTCCCAAGAATGCCCAAATCATGACAATCATTCTGAGACGGGCCGAACCGTTTAAGCTCTCCAGGATTTGCATTCCTTCAATATTTCCGTGAAATGCGACCAGCTTTAGCATTCGGAGAGCTGGGGAGCCGTACAACAGAGTCCTACTGCTTCCAGGAAAAGGGGAGCCGGTGGACCTGCCGGGCTCGGCCGGGAGATGGCTCAATAGTTCCAAATGACCCCGCGGACCGTCCGCGTGGGACCGGCTCTGTCGGCCGCGCCCGGACTCTGCCGGCCGGCTCGGTTCGCGCCGCTCGGCTGCCAGCTCGCCGGCGAGCAGCGTCCGGCCGGTGCGGTGGCCGCCGCCGCTGGCACGCGCCGGTCAATGTTTATGGTGCGTTGCATCCGGCGGCGGCGCGGCGGCCTCTCGG